TAATAATATTGGAATGGCTGATTTCCTTTGGAAATATAGAAATTTCCCAATTCACAAACCATCTTATATTTCATCACTTCAAACTTCAGTTGAGTGGGATGCAATACCCAACCTTATTGAATAGATTTTGGTGTGTGGGAATATACCGTTGATAATATTTCTGTTGATATATGCCACACTTCTTTGTATCTTAAATCACCCAGGTTTCACCTTTTGCTGAATGCACAGATCAAGGAAAGATTGCCTCTTGTTACTAGCACTATTGTGCGATAATTAGAGTACACATCCAGTTGGAGTTTAGTGAGATGTTCTACTCACTATAATTCAGTTTCCTGCAACTGAAGTATCTCCTGGCTTTCCATAGACAATGGTGCTTGTTTAGATGACACACATCTGCAAAGTCTTGGAATAACCAAAGTCAGATCCCACCATTGTAATTTATAGTACTGTGTTTGATCGCCTGCAGAAATTCAAATAGTGGTGTTTAATCCTATTGTCTTTTAAACAAGTCTCTTCCACTCATTGTTTAGGATAGCTCCCTGGAAGGCCACCTGAAATCAACTAAGGATGTTAACCCATCACAGTCAGCTTAGAACTTCCTAACTTGGGATAATATAATTTTTCTTAATAAACGGTCCAAAAGTCATCACAGGAGATCCTGGCTAGCTCTCCAAGAAGGTTTTGTGTAAAGACTTGTACATACTTCAGGAAGATTGTCCTCAGTTACAGTTCCAATGGGCGTCCCGTACACCCCTCCCCCCCATCCAAGGTAGAAACCCCTAATAAGATCACAAAGACAAAGCTCAAGGACTGCTTACTGACTCGTGGATGTGTCTATGGGAAAATTTGTTTTGCCTGACTGTGCAGGACTATAGGAGGACCCAAAACTTCTGTGTAGCGGCCTCTTACATTGCTGACCAATGGGAGAAGAACATTCCTATATCGTCATTGGTGGGAAGACTGGACTAGGCAGTCATATATTTCTGTCCCCCTTGGTGGGAGTGGAGGTGACCCCTCTATGAGGCCGGGGTCACACTACCAGACGGTTCTCGGGGCTGCAGTTCCTCTGAGCTCCACAAGGTGGGGATCTCACATCTATGCAGACAGGAAGTCTCTATGGAAGACAGGAAGTGATGTCACCTACAGACAGGAAGTCTCTATAGAAGACAGACAGGAAATTATGTCAGGGACAGAAGACATTCCATGAGGCAGGGAGTAGAGAGGACACATTGCTGGAAGTGGCAGCAGAGGAGGTAATAAGATCTGATTTTATATTTACACCCAGTAACCCCCGTCACGTCCGTCCTCTTCCTCCACCGTCACGTCTGTCCTCTTCCTCCACCGTCACGTCCGTCCTCTTCCTCCACCGTCACGTCCGTCCTCTTCCTCCACCGTCACGTCCGTTCTCTTCCTCCACAGTCATGTCCGTCCTCTTCCTCCATAGTCACTATGATGTCTTTTATCTCCAGCAGATGATGATACACACATATATAATGTGGGAACCCAGATTAACCCCTTCAGGGGCAGAACATTCCCCCACTTCCGGGGCCGGAACATTCTCCTCATTGTGGAGATACATTCTAGTAATATGATCCTCTAACCAGCAGCATTGACGTTAAACAGACAAGACAATGACCATCCTGACCATACATGGCCTACAGAGGGCGATGATTACACGACACAGGCAGCCAATGGGCAATCATTACACTATGCAGCCAACACAATGATGGAGTGCCGGGGTCAGGAGTATGGAGCATAGAGACCCTTACATTGCTGGTCAGGAGTATGTAGCATAGAGCCCCTTACATTGCTGGTCAGGAGGAAGAAAACATCCCCCAGCCAGCCATGAAGAATTTGTTCCATCATTGGTGTCAGAGGGAGGAAATACTGAGGGGTCTGAGGGAAGAAGGGGAGCTGAGGGGTCTGAGGGAAGTAGAGGAGCTGAGGGATCTAAGGGAAATAGAGGAGCTGAGGGGTCTGAGGGAAGAAGGGGAGCTGAGGGGTCTGAGGGAAGAAGGGGAGCTGAGGGGTCTGAGGGAAGTAGAGGAGCTGAGGGGTCTGTGGGAAGTAGAGGAGCGGAGGGAAGTAGAGGAGCTGAGGGAGTAGAGGAGCTGAGGCGTCTGAGGGAAGTAGAGGAGCTGAGGGATCTAAGGGAAGTAAAGAAGCTGAGGGAAGTAGAGGAGCTGAGGGATCTAAGGGAAGTAAAGAAGCTGAGGGAAGTAGAGGAGCTGAGGGTCTGAGGGAAGAAGGGGAGCTGAGGGTTCTGAGGGAAGTAGAGGAGCTGAGGGATCTAAGGGAAGTAGAGGAGTCTGAGGGAAGTAGAGGAGCTGAGGGGTCTAAGGAAAGTAGAGTAGCTGAGGGAGCTGAGGGGTCTGAGGAAAGTAGAGGAGCTGAGGGGTCTGAGGGAAGTAGAGGGTCTGAGGGAAGTAGAGGAGCTGAGGGGTCTAAGGGAAGTAGAGGAGCTGAGGGGTCTGAGGGAAGTAGAGGAGCTGAGGGGTTGTGAGGATTTAATAAAGCTGAAGGACTTTAGGGACCTCAGAAGGGGTAGAGTAGCTGAAGGATTCTGGGACCCTTGAGGGGGCAATCAGGCTGCAGGACTCTGAGGAAATAGGGGCTGGAGGACTCCTTGGGACCCTGAGGAAAGCGGGGGGGGGGGGGGGGGGTCTCTGGGACCATGACGCCCTCCCACCCCACCTGCACTTTTATTTTAAGACCTTACTGACAACCTTAACCATGTGACCGTCTCTCTGATCATGTGATTTGTTCTGGAATATCTAGTAACATGAAGAAGGACATTCCATCACTCATTGGTGAGCGTTTGTTCTGAGATGAGTTTTGTTTCAGCTGCAAACCCAACAGAGAAAACGGAATTTCTGATCCGGCAGACTAAGAGGGTCCCGGGACCTCCAAGATGTAACAAACACTAAACTGTCCAAACTAAATTTGTTCCCATGGGGGTTGTAGTTCTTCAATGTCCTTCAACCCTCCTATTACCCCCCCCCATCCACATCCTATTACCCCCCCATCCACATCCTATTATTGTGTGACCAATACCATCCAAATCATTCTTACTTTCATTTCCCAAAGTGATCCGTCTACAAGGAGACCTGTATAGACCAATGAGGATGGAGGTGGACCGGAGTCACATGACTAAGAGGATAATAAACCTCACCCTGGAGATCATCTACCTGCTGACCGGAGAGGTGAGGAGGATCCTGGGAGGTCACATGACATCACTCTGGTCTAGTCTGGCCAATAGACCATGTTCTTCTTGTAGACATGTAGATGATGTCAGATGATTGATATCGGTTTCTCTTTCTCCTGATCTGTAGGATTATGTTGTAGTGAAGAAGTCTAGTGGGGAGCCAATCTCAGGAGGATGGAGCAGGACCCAGAGCCCCACCATGGTGCCTCCCCCTCGTTCTCGGATACCTGAGAGGAACAAAGAGCAGAAGATCCTGGAACTGACCACCATGATGGTCCATCTGCTGACAGGAGAGGTGAGCGGTGCCGGGAATTCTGGGACATTCTCCAGTAACAGACAAGGGATGTGTCTGGATGGTGACTGTATCATTGTGTGTGTCAGGTTCCTATAAGGTGTCAGGGTGTCACTGTCTATTTCTCCATGGAGGAGTGGGAGTATTTAGAAGGACACAAGGACCTCTACAAGGACGTCATGATGGACAATCAGCTGCCCCCTTACATCACCGGGTAAGAGGAGACTTTATTGTAAAGGAGAGAGCAGTACGGAGGATCCACCTAGATCCCCCATCATCTGATAAACACATAGAAACAATGGATTCAGTCAGTGTGTGTGTTTCCTACAGATGGATCCAGTCATGGGAACCCACCAGAGAGATGTCCCCGTCCTCTGTATTCCCGGGATTCCACACAGGAAGGTCACACCATCCCTCACCATCATCCGGTAGATGGATCCAGTCATGGGAACCCACCAGAGAGCTGTCCCCGTCCTCTGTATTCCCGGGATTCCACACAGGAAGGTCACACCATCCCTCACCATCATCAGGTAGCTGAGGAACAATCACTGATAGTTTTGATTTATACACAGAATGTTTGTTACAATGAATGTTTTATTATATATTCAGAGTGGAATCCTCGGGGATGATAATATTGATGTGAAAGAAGAGTATAAAGAGGAGGATGAGGAGTATGGAGTGATGGAGGAGTTTTCAGAAGGACACAAGGATATGATGGAGCCACCTAATTCCAGGAACCCACCAGAGAGATGTCCCCGTTCTCTGTATTCCCGGGATTCCACACAGGAAGGTCACACCATCCCTCACTATTACAAGGTTGGTGGGACGGAGAGTCTAGAACATGGTCTCATGGAGACGATGTGTGGATTTTCTATGTGATGTCACAATAATAAATCTTCTATCTTACAGATGATATTTTCTCTCCTTCTCTTGGTGTAGAGTGGAGATCCAATCGATATAGAATTTGAGGTGAAATCAGAAGAAGAAGAGGCGTATGTGAGGGATGATCAGCAGTCTATGGAGGAGGATGGAATAACGGGGACATTTATAGAGGAGGACACTCCTACAGAGATCAGCACAGGTGGGTCATGAACACTAAATCCATTCCTCCACCCATACTGCTCACTGATTGGTCACTGACCCATTTCCTAGTTCCCTTGAGGGTGGAATTAGAAGCGTCTCAGAGACCAAGCTGCCTGATGTGGGCGGAGTCCTGGTTTGGGGGATCCAATCAGCTCCTGGCTAGTCTCTTTGTCTTTGTCTTTTAGTCCATGGCCGGGAGATGAGGAAAACCTCTGAGGATTGTCTCACTTTGTCTCCAGACTGGAAAGTAGAAGATGAGGACATCACACAGTATAGTCCAGGAGAAAACCCGGCTCCCTCCAATGTCCATCCGGCACCACCCAGTGTAGATGGACCATCGGATTCCTCGTATCCTGAGGAACCTCAGACTGTGCGGGACCGGGCCACTCTTCCAACAGGGAAGAGTTTCTCCTGTATTGGGTATGGGAAATGTTTCCATTCTAAATCCGATCTTAATGAGCATAAAAGAACTCACCCGGGGGAGAAGCCGTATTCCTGCCCTGAGTGCGGGAAATGTTTCCGTTTCAAATCTGGTCTTAATGAGCATAAAAGATCTCACACAGGAGAAAAGCCATATTCCTGTACTGAGTGCGGGAAATGTTTTTCTCAGAAGTCCAGTCTTAACGTACATTGGCGATTGCACAGGGGGGAGAAGTCATATTCCTGTCCTTATTGCGGGAAATGTTTTTTTCACAGAAATCCTATCTTACCATACATCAAAGGTCTCACACTGGAGAGAAGCCGTATTCCTGTGCAGAGTGTGGAAAGTGCTTCACTTCAAAACACACTCTTAATGTGCATAAAAAAACTCACACAGGTGAGAAACCGTATTCCTGTCCTAAGTGCGGGAAATATTTTGCACGGAAATCACATCTTATCTCACATCAAAGTACTCACACAGTGGACAAGCCATCTTCCTATCCTGAGTGTGGAAAATGTTTTTCAGAGAAGTCCACATCAGAGATCGCACACGAGGGAGAGGCCATATTCCTGTCCTGAATGGGGAAATGTTTTCTACAAAAACAGAACTTGTTGCACATTATAGGTCTCACACAGGGGAGAAGCCATATTCCTGTCCTAAGTGTGGGAAATGTTTTTTAGAGAAGTTCAGTCTTAACATTCATCAGAGATTGCACACGGGGGGGAAAAGGTCATATTTCTGTCCTGAGTGCGGGAAATGTTATTCACAGAAATCCAGTTTTTCCAGACATCAGAGATCTCACACGGGGAAAAGCCACTTTCCTGTCCTGAGTGCGGGAAAAGTTCCTCACTGAAGTCCTGTCTTCCCGTACATCAGGTGTCCCACACAACCCTGGAGGTGAATTAGTGCCTTGAGTGCGGGAAAATGTCTTCTAGATGAATGTTGCTAATAATGGAACACGTTGTATATTGTACACAAATCAATAACGACTCCGCCTCCACATTCTGAACAAGTGATTTTCCTGACCAATCGGATTTTTGCCTTTAATATTTCTTGATTTTATGACTGCAATCTTTGTAAATGTAAAATTATTATAAAAGGTTTATTGAACGCTATAAAATGGTGTGTATCGGTGCGATGGCGACAAACTTTGATATCTATACACTGCTCATACAGAGGGGGAAAACAATGATTTGATCCCTGGCAGATGGTGTAGGTTCGCCCACTTACACAGAAATGATCGGTCTAGAATTGTTATCATCGGTGTATATAAATGATAGAGACAGAATATCAACCAAAAATCCAGAAACAACACCATACAAATGTTATAAATGGAGTCGCAGTTCAGGGAGTACGATATGTGTTTGATCCCCCTACCAACCAACAATGATTCTGGCTCCCACAGACTGGCGATGTGCTCATGTGGTACACAGATCAGTCCTGTCAAGTAAGAAGGTCCTCCTACCGACAACTCGTTATGTGTATAAAAGACACCTGTCCTCAGAATTTTTTTCTTCCATTGAAACCTCACCACCACCATGGGCAAGACCAAAGAGCTGTCAAAGGACATCAGGAACAAGACTGTAGACCTGCACAAGGCTGGAATGGGCTACAAGACCATCAGCGAGAAACTTGGTGAAAAGGAGATGGATCTGATGGAACGATTATTCCCAATTGGAAGAAATACAAAATACCCATCAATCGCCCTCCTCAGTGTGGAGCTCCATGCAAGATTTCTCCTCATGGGGTAAGGATGATCATGAGAAAAGTGAGGGATCAGCCCAGAACTACACGGGAGGAGCTTGTGAAGGATCTCCAGGCAGCTGGGACCACAGTCACCAAACAAACCATTGGCAACACAATACGCCCCCATGGATTGGAATCCTACAGCACCCGCAAGGTTCCCCTCTTCAGGACGGCACATGTCCAGGCCCATCTGAAGTTTGCCAACGAACATCTAAATGATTCAGAGAAGGATTGGGAGAAAGTGCTGTGGTCATATGAGACCAAAATTGAGCTCTTTGGTATCAACTCAACTCACTGTGTTTGGAGGAAGAAAAATGCTGACTATGACCCCAAGAACACCATCCCTACAGTCAAGCACAGAGGTGGAAACAATATGCTTTGGAGCTGTTTCTCTGCTAAAGGTACAGGCCAACTTTGCCACATTGAGGGGCCAATGGACAAGGCCATGTATTGTAAAATCTTGGGTGAGAACTTTCTTCCCTCAGCCAGAACACTGAAAATGTGTCTTACAGCATGACAATGACCCAAAACATACCGCCAAGATAACAAAAGAGTGGCTCAAGATGAAGCACATTAAGGTCATGGAGTGGACTAGCCAGTCTCCAGACCTTGATCCTATAGAAATTTTATGCAGGGGGCTGAAACTTTGAGTTGCCAAGCAACAGTCAGGAAATCTTAAAGATTTACAGAAGATCTGTAAAAAAGAGTGGACCAAAATCCCTCCTGAGATGTCTGCAAACCTGGGAACTGACTACAAGGAACGTCTCACCTCTGTGCTCACCAACAAGGTTTCCTACACCAACTAAAAGAGACGTCTCACCTCTGTGCTCACCAACAAGGGTTCCTCCACCAACTACAAGAAACGTCTCACCTCTGTGATTGCCAACAAGGGTTCCTCCACCAAGTACAAGGAACGTCTCACCTCTGCACTCGCCAACAAGGGTTCCTCCACCAAGTACAAGGAACGTCTCACCTCTGCACTCGCCAACAAGGGTTCCTCCACCAACTACAAGGAACATCTCACCTCTCTGCTGGCCAACAAGGGTTCCTCCACCAACTACAAGAAACGTCTCGCCTCCGTGCTGGCCAACAAGGGTTCCTCCACCAACTACAAGGAACGTCTCACCTCTGTGCTCTCCAACAAGGGTACCTCCACCAACTACAAGGAACGTCTCACCTCTGTGCTCTCCAACAAGGGTTCCTCCACCAACTACAAGGAACGTCTCACCTCTGTGCTCTCCAACAAGGGTACCTCCACCAACTACAAGGAACGTCTCACGTCTGTGCTCTCCAACAAGGGTTCCTCCACCAACTACAAGGAACGTCTCACCTCTGTGCTCACCAACAAGGGTTCCTCTACCAACTACAAGGAACGTCTCAGCTCTGTCCTGGCCAACAAGGGCTTCTCCACCAACTAAAAGAGACGTCTCACCTCTGTGCTCACCAACATGGGTTCCTCCACCAACTACAAGAAACGTCTCGCCTCTGTGCTGGTCAACAAGGGTTCCTCCACCAACTACAAGAAACGTCTCACCTCTGTGCTCGCCAACAAGGGTTCCTCCACCAGCTACAAGAGACGTCTCACCTCTGTGCTCGCCAACAAGGGTTCCTCCACCAACTACAGGAAATGTCTCACCTCTGTGCTCGCCAAAGGGTTCCTCCACCAACTACAAGGAATGTCTCGCCTCTGCGCTCGCCAACAAGGGTTTCTCCACCAACTACAAGAAACGTCTTGCCTCTGTGCTCGCCAACAAGGGTTCCTCCACCAACTACAAGAAACGTCTCGCCTCTGTGCTGGCCAACAAGGGTTCCTCCACCAACTACAAGAAACGTCTCGCCTCTGTGCTGGCCAACAAGGGTTCCTCCACCAACTACAAGAAACGTCTCGCCTCTGTGCTGGCCAACAAGGGTTCCTCCACCAACTACAAGAAACGTCTCGCCTCTGTGCTGGCCAACAAGGGTTCCTCCACCAACTACAAGGAACGTCTCGCCTCTGTGCTCGCCAACAAGGGTTCCTCCACCAACTACAAGGAACGTCTCACCTCTGTGCTCGCCAACAAGGGTACCTCCACCAACTACAGGAACGTCTCACCTCTGTGCTCTCCAACAAGGGTACCTCCACCAACTACAAGGAATGTCTCACCTCTGTGCTCGCCAACAAGGGTTCCTCCACCAACTACAAGGAACGTCTCACCTCTGTGCTCTCCAACAAGGGTACCTCCACCAACTACAAGGAACGTCTCACCTCTGTGCTCTCCAACAAGGGTTCCTCCACCAACTACAAGGAACGTCTCACCTCTGTGCTCACCAACAAGGGTTCCTCTACCAACTACAAGGAACGTCTCAGCTCTGTCCTGGCCAACAAGGGTTCCTCCAACAACTACAAGGAACGTCTCACCTCTGTGCTCACCAACAAGGGTTCCTCCATCAAGTACTAAGTCATGTTTTGCTTGGGGATCAAATACTTATTTTACTCCCTGAACTGCAACTCCATTTATAACATTTGTATCGTGTTGTTTCTGGATTTTTGGTTGATATTCTGTCTATATCATTTATATACACCGATGATAACAATTATAGACCCTTCATTTCTTTGTAAGTGGGTGAACCTACACAATCTGCAGGGGATTAAATCTTTTCCCTACTGTAGGTGACGCATGAAAAGCCTTCACAACCTTGAATATTGGCCTGGAGAGCGACAATAAAGAGTTTATCATATACAGCCCACCATAAAAAGTGCAGAGGTGGTCTGTAGTGTGAGCCCTTCCTCTTGAATGATTCCAGGCCACATGCCCACAACATGGAGGGTCACTGTACCAGGGGGGATTTTCCTGGACACTGCACCTTGGCTGGTGGCTATCTGTGAGCGGGGGTCATATTGGATTCTGGAAACCCCCTTTAATAATAAGGGGGGCCCATGTACATTCCCCCATGTGAATGATTATGGGGTACATAGTATTGGGCAGTAGCCGAATGACAGCTCCCTATACTCATCATAAGTAAAGGGGCGGAGATGGTGGTGACCCTCTTATCCACCCTTGGCTGGTGGCTTTGGGGATCTGTGGGCGGGGGTCAAACTGGATTCTGGAAACCCCCTTTAATAATAAGGGGGGCTCATACCTTCCCCCACATGGAAGAGTTTGGGGTACATAGTACTGGACAGTAGAACTCTATACTGTCATCATCTATGTGAAGGGACGGAGATGGTGGTGACCCTCTTACCCATATGTGACCAGTGGCCATATTTGTTCAGTGATGTCACTGCAATCCCCACCACCTTCCTTACATGGCAGAGACCCCCAATGACATCAGCTACTATATATAGACGTTGTAGAGATGTCTCTTCTATATGTCATGCTCAGCTCCTGCCAAACGGAACGGGGACAGCCAAAGTTTGGTTTGAATGATCAGCTCATCCCTACTCTTCAATAACTAAACCCAGAACTCTTCCCAAGTGGTCAGTGTAGTGGTCCCCTACATTGATCACCAATCGGTGAAGGACCCCCTTATATCAGTGGTCAGTGTAGTGGGCCCTACATTGGTGACCGATGGGAGAAGGACCCCCTTATATCAGTGGTCAATTGTAGTGGCCCCTACATTGGTGACCAATGGGAGAAGGACCCCCTTTTATCAGTGGTCAGTGTAGTGGTCTCTTACATTGGTGACCGATGGGAGAAGGACCTCCTTATATCTGTGGTCAGTGTAGTGGTCCCTTACGTTGGTGACCAACAGAAGAAAGACCCCCGTATATCAGTGTAGTGATCCCTTACATTGGTGACCAACAGAAGAAGGATCCCCTTATATCAGTGGTCATTGTAGTGGGCCCTTACCTTGGTGACCAATGGGAGAAGGACCCCCTTATATCAGTGGGAAAGGGACATTCTTACGTCATCTTTGGTGGGAAGACTGCCCTTCTTAAAAGTTGTTACTGACAGACAGAAATTGTTTATTGCTCGAGGAACCCCTAGAACCCTTTGGAGGAACCCCTAAAACCCTTTGGAGGACCCCTAGCTGAGAAAGGCTGGACCAGGCAGTCATATATTTCTGTCCATACACACCCAGCACAAGGGCGGGGTCACACTACTAGATGGTTCTCGGGGCTGCAGTTCCTCTGAGCTCCACAAGGTGGGGGTCTCACTTCTACCCAGACAGGAAGTCTCTATGGAAGACAGGAAGTGATGTCAGCTACAGACAGGAAGTGATGTCAGGTATAAATAGGAAATAGGTAAGTTGGGAGGAAGTAGAGAGGAGACATTGCTGGAAGTGGCAGCAGAGGAGGTAATAAGATCTGATTTTATATTTACACCCAGTAACCCCCCTGTAATGTCTGTCCTCTTCCTCCACCGTCATATCCGTCCTCTTCTTCCATCGTCACGTCCTTCCTCTTCCTCCACCGTCACGTCCATACTCTTCCTCCATAGTCACTGTGACATCTTTTATCTCCAGCAGATGATGGTACACACATATATAGAGGAATAGATTTTTTTTTGTATCTCATTCAAAGTTCGTATGATAAAGACAAATGTATCCAAATCTACTTGAACCCCCCCATCCCCCGCACCTAATAGAAGTTCTATTATGCATTAATAAAGACTAAAAAGTCAAAAAGGTGATTGGTGGAAAAGCAACACATCTAAAGAACACGTACCGGCCATTCCAGTCCATGGAGGAGTGGGAGTATTTAGAAGCACACAAGGACCTCTACAAGGATGTCATGATGGACAATCAGCCGCCCCTTACATCACTGGGTAAGAGGAGACTTTATTGGAAAGGAGAGAGCAGTACGGAGGATCCACCTAGATCCCCCATCATCTGATAAACACATAGAAACAATGGATTCAGTCAGTGTGTGTGTTTCCTACAGATGGATCCAGTCATGGCAACCCACCAGAGAGATGTCCCTGTCCTCTGTGTTCCCAGGATTCCACACAGGAAGGTCACACCATCCCTCACCATCATCAGGTAGATGAGGAACAATCACTGTTTATTATGATTTATAGACAAGAATATGTGTTACAATGAATATCTTAATATATATATATATATTCAGAGTGGAAACCTCAGGGATAATATTCTTAAAGAAGAGTGTAAAAAGGAGGATGAGGAGTATGGAATGATGGAGGATCTTTCTGAAGGACACAAGGATATGATGGAGCCACCTAATACCAGGAACCCGCCAGAGAGATGTCCCTGTCCTCTGTATTCCCGGGATTCCACACAGGAAAGTCACACCATCCCTCACCATTATCAGGTAGATGAGGAACAATTATTGGCAGTTATGATTTATACACAGCATGCTTGTTACAATGATTTTTTAATTATCTATTCAGAGTGAAAACTTCAAAGAGTATAACTTTGTTGGTAAAGAAGAGTATAAAGAGGAGGATGAGGAGTATGGAGTGATGGAGGAGTTTTCAGAAGGACACAAGGATATGATGGAGCCACCTAATACCAGGAACCCACCAGAGAGATGTCCCCGTCCTCTGTATTCCCAGGATTCTACACAGGAAGGTCACACCATCCCTCACTGTTACAAGGTTGGTGGAATGGAGCATCTAGAACATGGACTTGTGGAGATGATGTGCAGATTTTTTTTAATATGATCTTGTAATATTAAAGCTTATACTTTACAGATGATATTTTCTCTCCTTCTCTTGGTTTAGGGTGAAGGTCTGATAGATATAAAAGTTGAGGTGAAATCAGAAGAAGAAGTGTATGTGAGGGATGATCAGCAGTCTATGGAGGAGGATGGAATAACGGGGACATTTATAGAGGAGGACACTCCTACAGAGATCAGCACAGGTGGGTCAGGAACACTAAATCCATTCCTCCACCCATACCGCTCACTGATTGGTCACTGACCCATTTCCTAGTTCCCTTGGGGGTGGAATTGTAAGCTCCTCAGAGAACAAGCTGCCTGATGTGGGCGGAGTCCTGGTTTGGGGGATCCAATCAGCTCCTGGCTAGTAATCCTCTTTGTCTTTGTATTTTAGTCCATGGCCGGGAGATGAGGAAAACCTCCGAGGATTGTCTCATTTTGTCTCCAGACTGGAAAGTAGAAGATGAGGACATCACACAGTATAGTCCAGGAGAAAACTCGGCTCCCTCCAATGTCCATCCAGCACCACCCAGTGTAGATGGACGATCGCTTTCCTCGTATCCTGAGGAACCTCAGACTGTGCGGGACCAGGCCGGCCTTCCAACAGAGAAGAGGTTCTCCTGTACTGTGTGCAGGAAATGTTTCCATTTTAAATCCAAACTTAATGTGCATAAAAGATCTCACACGGGGGAGAAGCCGTATTCCTGTCCTGAGTGCGGGAAATGTTTTTTAGTAAAGTCCCATCTTTCCCGACATCAAAGATCTCACACGGGTGGGAAGCTGAATTCCTGTCCTGAGGAACCTCAGACTGTGAGGGATGCTGCCGTCCTTCCAACAGATAAGAGGTTTTCTTGTCCTGATTGTGGGAAATGTTTCCGTTTTAAATCCAAACTTGGTGATCATAAAAGATCTCACACGGGAGAGAAGCCTCATTGCTGTGCTGAGTGTGGGAAATGTTTTTTACAAAAATCAGATCTTGTCAAACATCAGAGGAGTCACACAGGAGAGAGGCCGTATTCCTGTACTGAGTGTGGGAAATGTTTTTCACAAAAAACAGATCTTGTCAAACATCAGAGGAGTCACACGGGTGAGAAGCCGTATTCCTGTTCTGAGTGTGGGAAATGTTTTTCACGGAAATCTCTTCTTTGCAGACATCAGAGATTGCACACGGGGGAGAAGCCTTATTTCTGTCCTGAGTGCGGGAAATGTTTTTCACTTAAGTCCCATCTTTACACACATCAGAAATACCACACAGGTGAGAAGCCCCATTTCTGTCCTGAGTGTGGGAAATGTTTTTTACAAAGATCGGATCTTGTCAAACATCAGAGGAGTCACACAGGAGAGAGGCCGTATTCTTGTTCTGAGTGTGGGAAATGTTTTTCACAGAAGTCCAGTCTTTGCAGACATCAGAGATCTCACACAGGGGAGAAGCCACTTTCCTGCCCTAAATGCGGGAAATGTTTTTCACTAAAGTCCAATCTTCGCAGACATCAGAGGTTGCATAAGGATGAGATGCCACGTTCCTGTCCTGAGTAAGGGAAATGTTCCTCACTGAAGTCCTATCTTCCTGTACATCAGGGGTCCCACACAACCCTGGAGGTGTATTAGTGTCTTGAGTGCGGGAAATGTCTTCTACAGGTGAAACTCAAAAAATTGATATTGGCATAGAAAGCAACCCCTCCTAAACCCTGTCCTGGGGCAATGATAACTAAGGAGAACTACGCCACCATATAACTTTAGCAGTCTGTAGTATACTATTCTGCTGGCCATCTCATTGGGGCTCATCTCCTATAAATACATAGGTGGTCCATACAGTGCAGTACCTGCCGGCAACACAGTTCCACATTTAGCACAGTGTAGTGGGGTTTGGCCAGCGGCCTCCTGCCAACTCCTGTGATGGCAGGTGGTCCCCGATCTGTTTCCTGTTGGCAGGGCAACCTGTCATTACCTGCGTTGTCCTTCCTCTTGACCAGGCAGCTGGTTCTGTCATCTGTTGCATTCTCCAGTGTTTCAGGATGTCTTGCTCTTCTCTCCTTATCAAATGAGGTGGTGAATGTTCTGCTAGCAGCCTGGAGCACACTCAGTCCCTCTGAACGTCCCTCATAATTTCATGCTCCTCAGCCCAGGAACAACAACACTCCTTCTGTTCCTCTACGAGGAGCTCCAAAGAATATGGGATAATTACAGGTGAAACTTGAAAAATTAGAATATGGTGCAAAAATTAATTTATTTCAGTAATGCAACTTAAAAGGTGAAACTAATATACTGTATGAGACTCATTACATGCAAAGCAAGATAGTTCAAGCCGTGATTTGTCATAATTGTGATGATTACGGCTTACAGCTCATGAAAACCTCAAATCCACAATCTCAGAAAATTAAAATATTACATGCAATCAATAAAACAAGGATTATACATAGAACAATATCGGACCTCTGAAAAGTAGAAGCATGCATATGTACTCAGTACTTGGTTTGGGCCCCTTTTGCAGCAATTACTGTCTCAATGCGGCAAGGCATGGAAGCTATCAGCCTGTGGCACTGCTGAGGTGTTATGGAAGACCAGGATGCTTCAATAGCGGCCTTCTGCTCTTCTGCATTGTTCGGTCTCATGTCTCATCTTTCTCTTGGCAATGCCCCATAGATTATGGGGTTCAGGTCAGCCGAGTTTGCTGGCCAATCAAGCACAGTAATCCCACGGTCATTGAACCAGGTTTTGGTGCTTTTGGCAGTGTGGGCAGGAAAATGAAGTCAGCATCCCCATAAAGCTTGTCTGTGGAAGGAAGAATGAAGTGCTCCAAAATCTGGTAGACGGCTGCATTGACCCTGGACTTAATGAAGCACAGTGGACCAACACCATCAGATGACATGGCTCCCCAAATCAACACAGACTGTGGAAACTTCACACTGTACTTCAAGCATCTTTGCAGTATGTGCCTCTCCATTCTTCCTCCATACTCTGGGTCCTTGGTTTCCAAATGAGATGCAAAAGTTGCTCTCATCAGAAAAGAGGACTTTGGAGGCTTTGATACAGCACTTTGGGAACATCCAACTTCTTTTGCAATTACCTTTTGAGGCTTTCCCTCCTTATGGAGGGTGTCAAGGATGGTTTTCTGCACAACTGTCAGGTCAGCAGTCTTTCCCATGATTGTGATTCCTACTGAACCAGACTGAGAGACCATTTAAAGGCTCAGGAACCCTTTATGGCTTAATTAGCTGATTAGAGTGGGACACTTTGAGCCTAGAATATCTCACCTTTTCACAATATTCTAATTCTCTGAGATTGTGGATTTGGGGTTTTCATGAGCTGTAAGCCATAATCATCACAGTTATGACAAATCACGGCTTGAACTTTCTTGCTTTGCATGTAATGAGTCTATCTCATATATTAGTTTCACCTTTTACGTTGCATTACTGAAATAAACAAACTTTTGCACGATATTCTAATTTTTTGAGTTTCACCTGTAGATGAATGTTGGTGAACATCCCAGCTCTCATGTGGGGAAGAAGCACCCCCTGATATACACCTCAGATATACTCCATGGCTGATCTTCATCATGGAAGAAACCGTTCATAAGGAGGTCAGAGGTCACCAAAGACTTAGATGAAGTGTGGAACCGGATTGGCCATTGGTAGCAGTCATGGGGGGAAGAAGCACCCCCTGATATACACCATATGATGGTTCTTCGAGGGTAAATATGAGTAAAGAGTTCACAAAATGCATGTTAAGTGCACACAAACACAATATAAGACCCAATTTTTCTGCTAAAATATAACCGATGGGGTTGTGCCGAGTAAAGAGATACCCAACACGTCAGGCCATAAAACTGTGTGTGATCCCCCACTCCCCTCCCCCCAACTCCTCCTCCTACTATTGCTTTGTTTTCTCTCCAGAAGTACGTTGTGGACCTCTACAATGATGGAAAGGATATTAGAGGGGAAGGGTGGCCGTACTTCTGTCCCATGGACCCTTCTCTATATTGATGCCTCCTATGATGGCGATGCACTTTCTCTGTATACCTTCTGGAATGTTCTTTTCTCTGGAATAAAGAATTTATGGACATAAAATGCTGTGTGTCGGCGCAATGATGACAGACTTCAGGCTCCAAAAAATGGCCCCCAGGTGACGCTTCCAGAGCCCCTACAGCTCATCAGTTTAGAGGTCATCGGGAATAATGGGCAGAGAACGATCGCTCTCACTCTGGAGTGCGTGGCGATAGCTTATGTGTGTAGCGCAATGTAGGTAGGCGCCGCAACGTGGGTGTTCACCTCCACCATGGGTTTATAGGCACGTACCTGCGTGGGGCGCTCACATGGGTTTTTGGTGTAACTCATTGAGTCATCTGTAGGGTGGTGGTCAATCACTATGGAACAGAGTCCCTGAAGACTTCCATGGGGGTGTTTACTCACTATGACAGGAGAAGCCCGGAGTCCCACATCATGGACAGGTATGACAAGGTCACTTTATAAACAGGTGTCACTCCGGAGTGCACGGCGATAGGTTATGTGTGTAGCGCAATGTAGGTAGGCGCCCTCAACTTGGGTGTTCACCTTCACCATGGGTTTCTAGGTAGATACATTCAGTTGATTAAATGCTGGTAAGCGTTTGAGGACACCCCCCAAAGCACCTTCCCTATAACCCTCCCCCACTCAATGAGTCCTCATTTTTATACTCTTGTCTGAAGGCGATGGACTTCTCCTTCTCGGAGGAATCGGCTTCATTAGTTTCTTATTTTTAATTTTTTTTTTTTTCGAATTCTTCAGTCAACAGCTCGCTGTCTTCTAACACTTATAGAGAAGCAGGGTGTCCAGATCGGAGCAATCCCAGCAAAACCTTGGGAGCCGTACCTGGACCTATGTTATTAAGATGGCCTGTGTTGTTGCTTTGGAACTGGATCCTGCGGGGGGCGCTCACACTGGCTTTTGGTGTAACTCATTGAATTATCTGTAGGGTGGTGGTCAATCACTATGGAACCCAGTCCCTAAAGACCCCCGTGGAGGCGTTTGCTCACTATGACAGGAGAAGCTTGGAGTCCTGCATCATGGACAGGTAAAACAAGGTCACCCTGTATCTCTGACCATTGCTTTATAAACAGGTATCATGTACCTGGTCGGAGGCCGGAGTGCTGAAAGGGCCTCCCTTGCAGCTGAGTGAAGAACACCCCTGAAGGTAGGAACTGGAGATGCTTGGCCCAGAGAAGCACAGGTTGCCATCTGTCGGAGCCTGAAGAGCTGAGATGATGATCACCTGAGGATATCCGGATCAGCAGGAGTAACTGCAGAGCTGATGTTCTCCAGAAGTAACAGGCAGAACTGGGCAGCAGGCAAATGTCCTCCAGACATAGCAGGCAGAACTGGACAGCAGGCATATGTTCTCCAGACGTAGCAGGCAGAAATGGACAGCGGGTGTATGTTCTCCAGACGTAGCAGGCACAACTGGACAGCAGACGTATGTTCTCCAGACGTAGCAGGCAGAACTGGACAGCAGGCAGATGTTCTCCAGACGTAGCAGGCAGAACTGGACAGCAGGCGTTTGTCCTCCAGACATAGCAGGCAGAACTGGACGGCAAGCGTATGTTCTCCAGACTTAGCAGGCAGAACCTGGCAGCAGGCAGATGTTCTCCAGACGTGGCAGGCAGAACTGGACAGCAGACAGATGTTCTCCAGACATGGCAGGCAGAACTGGACAGCAGACAGCTGTTCTCCAGACGTAGCAGGCAGAACTGGACAGCGGGCAGATGTTCTCCAGACGTAGCAGGCAGAACTGGACAGCGGGCAGATGTTCTCCAGACGTAGCAGGCAGAACTGGAAAGCGGGCAGATGTTCTCCAGACGTAGCAGGCAGAACTGGACAGCGGGGTATGTCCTCCAGATGTAGCAGGCAGAACTGGACAGCGGGCGTATGTTCTCCAAACGTAGCAGGCAGAACTGGACAGCAGGCGTATGTTCTCCTGACGTAGCAGGTAGAACTGGACAGCGGGCCCCCTACTGACCCCGGGCCCTCAGGCAGTGCCCGAATTTCCAAATGGTCAGTCTGTCCCTGGTTCACCTCCATGTGTGCGTGTACATGGGGGCTCAAAGATTTTGAGGGTTACATGCTTTGGGGTAACATTAATATCCTAATTGAACAGGATACAGGCAACATACACCTTGGGGTTATAGGCACATACATTCAGGTGACTGGATGCTGGACATTTAAGGACACACCCTCCTTGAGCACCTCCCTTATAATCCTCCCCCGCTCAGTGAGTCCTCTTTTTTTTTTCTAGTGTCCGAGGATGATGGGCCTCTTCTCCTTCCAGAGACATCAGCTTCACTAGTTTCTTCAAACCCTATGTAGAGGCTTATGGCACCGCTCCAAGCCAGAAAGACGAAGGAAATGGGAGCAGCATTCACAAGTTGTTCCAGACACTGCGGGGTAAGAGGATGGATGCCGTTCTACCCTCTCCCTGGAGCCTAGATTGGATAGGAGGGCCTCAGCCGCTGCTCTAATGCATTTCAGCGTGCCCACTGGCAGCTTGATCACAGGACGTGACGCATCAGAGCACGTGGTTAGAGCAGCAGCTGAGGCCATCCTGTCCATACTGGACTCCAGGGACAGGGTAGAGCAGGGCGGACTGACAACTCATGGGGCCCCCGGGCAATAGGGGATTATGGGGCCCCTGTGTCCTTGCCCACACTCAAACCACACCCAAAAAAGCCTATGAAAGGTACCAGGGGCATCTCATGGGGCCCTCTACTGACCCCGGGCCCTCGGGTAGTGCTCGAGCTCCCAAATGATCAGTCCGCCCCTGGGGTAGAGAGGCGTCCATCCTCTTATCTCTTCACTAGTTTCTCATTCATTTTAGTTGAGATCTTCAGTGAACACCTCGTGGTCTTCTAACACCTATAGAGAAGCAATGGCCCTGATTTACTATTGTGCCTGGGTGCATTTCCGTGGGCGAACGTCTAATTTTTATGAGCGGCCGTCTACTTTTACCCCAGAATGAGATTTTTCTATTGAGCAGCGTCCATAAGTAGACGCCCAATCGAATTTACTAACGAGACACACGCCCGGAATCAGACTCACAAAGCAGACTTGCTAAGAGGCACGTCTAACACCATGAAAAATCACTGCAGAGACATGTTCACTTAGAAATTTGCTTTGCCAAATATCAGGACTTCACTTTAAACAATATCTGCTATTTCCAAAAAAAATTAAGAATGTGTTAAAAATAGTTTTTTTAAAGCAAATCAACACAGTAAAAAACTAGATGCCCGTGCAGTGTCTTTGGCCGATATAAATGCGCATGTGCAGAACACATTTTAGACGTCCTCTCTGGCGCTGCTTAATAGTAAATCTCAGTGTGGATTCCTCTGACAGCCGGCACTCCGTCGTGTCTGTTTTTAATAAACAGCACTAGGCATATCTTTATGTATTCTAATTTGATTTCCTTAGTTCTAGTGATTTTATTTTTGTTTCTTATCCTTTATAATTATTTCTGTAATGATTTTACTTATTTCGAAGGTCTAGATAATATTTATTTTGACAGCTGAATGTAAAAATAAAGGTCCGCAATAAAAAAAAAAACAAAACAGCGTGAGTCCCCCTTCTCATCCATACCCCCTTAATATCCATCCATGGTATGGATATTAAGGGGGAACTCCACGCTGAAATTTAAAAAAAAAAAAACCAGCGTGGGGAGCCCCTCAATATCCATACCACACACTTATCTGAGCATGCAGCCCGGCAGGTCAGGAAAGGGGGGGGGACGAGCCCCGCCCCATACCTATATAAGAACTGTCAGACTGTCTCCTGCATTCAGCTAGTTAGCCTCAGTGGAGAGACAGGGTGACAGTTCTTAAATAGGTAAGGGGCGGGGATGATGTCCCCGGCTGGCCCCGCCCCTAACCTATTTAAGAACTGTCAGCTAGCCTTTTTTTCACAAGGCTGGAAGCCCCAACGGGAGCAGAACTTTTTTTTTCTTTTTTCGGGTCGCCGCCGTGGCCTGTGATTGACGTTGGATCTACTTCGGGGGGACATTTTTTTAATAAAGGACTTGTCAAAGACCCTGTACTGTGTTTTTTTTTTACACCACACTTTGTTTTTTTGTGAATGAGTTGCAGGACCATGTACCGCAGACTCATTCACGTAGGGGGGGGCGGCCGGGATCTGGGGGCCCCCTTGTTAAAAGGAGGCTTCCAGATTCTGATAAGCCCCCCACCCGCAGACCCCCACAACCACCGGCCAGGGTTGTGGGGAAGAGTCCCTTGTCCTCATCGACATGGGGACAAGGTGCTTTGGGGGGGAGCCCCCTCTTCCCCAAAGCATCCCCCCCATGTTGAGGGCATGTGGCCTGGTATGGTTCAGGAGGGGGGGCGCTCGTTCGTCCCCCCCTTTCCTGACCTGCCGGGCTTTATGCTCGGATAAGGGTCTGGTATGGATATTGAGGGGGTCCCCACGCTGTTTTTTTTTTTTTTAATTTTGGCGTGGAGTTCCCCCTTAATATCATACCAGACCTGAAGGGCTTGGTATGGATGGGAGGGGGGACCCACGCTGTTTTATTTATTATTTATTTAATTCACAGAAATAATTTAAAATTCAGCTGTCAGTGGGAAACCCCGATGACAGCTGAAACATTCCTTCTGTCCCTGCAGAGAGCTCCGCTATTATATTTGACATTAAAAAGTATAGAGACTGCAACATTGTATCTATTTGTATCCATTCCGGATATAGATGTTTTTATTCAGATACATATAGATACAATGTTGCAACCTTTATACTTTTTAATGTCAAATATAATAGCGCAGCTCTCTGCAGACCAGAAGTAATTATTTCGCTATTATATTTGCCGGCCACAGACGGGGCGAAAATCTGACAATTTTTTTTACCACTGGTGGTAACGTCGGCCCATTGAACAACCAATTTTTCATTTTTTTTTTTTTTAAAAAAACGGTCAGTTTTTGCCCCATCTATGGCCTGCATTTTTCTTTTTCTTCTTTTTCTTCTTTTTTTTTTCTTCTTTTTCATTTTCCTTCTCTTTTTCTTGCAGGTCATGGCTCATGTGCAGATTTTTTATCTGTTTAAAGATCAGCCAATTTGCAGATCATTGCAGCTAAAATCGGCCGATCTGCAAAATTGGCCGATTTTTATCCAAATTTACCAATTAAAAAAAGTGGCAAAATCCCCAAAAATGGCTGACCAATTAACCCACTAACGGCCCGAAAATCAGCCGATTTTTTTTTTCGGACGATTTTAGACCCATCTAAAGCAGGCCATAGATGGGTCTAAAATCGGCCGATTTTTCTGCCGAAAAAAAAAAATGAACGATTTTCGGGCCGTTAGTGGGTTAATTGGTCAGCTGTTTTTCGGGATTTTGGCACATTTTTTTTATCAGTAAAGTTGGAAAAAAAAATTCCAACTTCCAAGGTAAAAAAAAATTCCAACTTTACTGATAAACAAAATATGCTAAAATCCCAAAAAATGGCCGACCAATTATCCCACTAACGGAAGAGGCCCTTGTCCCCATTAACATGGGGACAAGGTGCTTTGGGGGGGAGCCCCCCTGCCCCAAAGCACCCCCCCATGTGTTGAGGGCATGTGGCCTGGTATGGTTCAGGAGGGGGGGCCGCGCTCGCTTGTCCACCCCCCCTTTCCTGACCTGCCGGGCTGCATGCTCGGATAAGGGTCTGGTATGGATTTTGGGGGGATCCCCAAGCTGTTTTTTATTTAATTTCGGCGTGGAGTTACCCCTTAACCTCCCTGGCGGTATGATTATTTCAGATTTTTGGTGCTGAAAGCGGTACCATTATTTTGCATGGAAATATGTAGTTTTTTATTGTAGGCTGTAATTTTTAGGGATAACTCACTGAAATCTGTCCTAACAAGAGTCTATTAAACATCCCGGGTATGATAAAAATTTGAAACACGAAATCATAAATTATAACTTAATAAATAATCATAAAAAATAATAATATAATAATAATACATTTAATTCAATAATATAATCAAACCGAAAACACTGAAATTTGAAATATAGCACCAAGTTCGTACATTGCTGAGCAAAGTCGCAAAATCGTTTTCAGTGTCTGATGACGAATTTCCCCCACGAATCATTATCACTCAATTCTGCAAGTGGTTCTGATTTACTATCGCTGTTCTCTAGCTGGTCTAAACCCGCTTTTGACCTAAAGGGACACTTTTTGGAGGCCATGGATTTTTCTAAGTTTCCAGGCAGAAAGACAGACAAAATGTAGGCAGGGCACAGGACAAAGCACTAGGGACAATATGTATGTGAAATGGGTGAAACAGCAATGTTTTACTGTGAAAAATGTGTTTTGAAAAAAATTACATTTTTAAAATTTTCAAATTCCCCCCCCCGCGCCACCGCCCGTACGTCCCGACGTCACGGGGACCGGAACACAGAAGCCGGATGCCGGCATCAGCCGGAGGAGATGGCCGGGGATGCTTCAGGGGACACATCGTGGGAGCGAAGGACAAGGTAAGTGCTGCAGGGACTCCCTATGCAGCGCCGCATGGTAAGCCCGAGTGTAGCTCGGGTTACCGCTTTTGTACTAAAACTCTACCCCGAGCTACACTCGGGAATACCCGCCAGGGAGGTTAATATCCATACCAGACCCGAAGGGCTTGGTGTGGATGGGAGGGGGGACCCCATGCCGTTTTTTATTTTTTATGGTGCTGGTTTTTAAATGTAATTCTCCCTTTTTTTCTTCACTATAGCTCAGAAATTCACCTGTCACTTCCCCAGCTAAAAGAGAAAGTTTTCTTGGAATTTATATCCCTAAAGGAAACAATGTTTACTTTGAGTTTTATTAAAATATACAAAGTTTTCTGTAATTTCGGGGAAAGTGACTTCTAAGCTTGTGAACTATAGTGAAGAAAAAAAAAGGGCTGGCATTTGCATTTGAAAATCGGTGCCGACATACACTTTGTATTGCAAAAAAAATTATTAACAATTGTGTAAACCGAGGCATTGTTTTCAATGGATTCTCATTCGTAAACCAAAAAATTCCATTAACCGAGGCGTTGGTAAACCGAGGTATGCCTGTATTAGTATTACAATCCTTTGTATTGGGATACATAGAACCAACATACATTTGAATTGGCAACATAGCACAACATTTGTGTCGCATTGAGATATCTGGCTAGTTACACTGACCTTGCCCAGGGACCTAGGATTGATTCACACCACAGAAATACAGGCAGGTTTAGTGTTCAACAGCTCCATGGATTAGTGTTAGCACTACTGTCTCACAATGCTAGGGTTGTTGGTTTTAATCCCAACCACAGCAATGAATTTGCATGATCTCTGTATGACTACCCTAACATACATGTGCTGGTGGCAGCATCTTTGCTTTCTGTTTAAATGATCCCCTAGAATGTGAATTAGAATGAGGCCTTGTCTGTTCAAACACCTTTAAAGTAGCACCTTATGTGAATGTCAAACGATGGGATGAGATAAGGGCCTGGACTAATGATTGATTGGATAATGCTGGTCTGCACTCCACATCCTTTGGGAAAGTTTGTCAAACCATGAGAAGAGTGAGCGAAAGAGATGGAATTAAAAAATAAATAAATAATGGCATGGAGTCCCCCCCCAAATCCATAACAGACCCTTATCCGAGCATGCAGATATCGCATGCCTTCAAAGATTTATTTCCTTTGTTGAATTGCCTGCTTGGTTCACACTAGATGTGATTTAAAATTGTGCTTTTTGTTGGCAATTTCACTGTGTTTTCTGTAGATTTACCAATGAGCTATTGCGTTTTCAATTGTGTTTTGGCATTGCAATTTCTATTGTAGTCTATATGTGAAATCGCTACAAAATGCTGAAATAGTTAGACAAGAACTACTTTGAAATTGTGCTGCAGCAAATCGCTTACGTTAAGACACTCACATCCACATTCATTAGATCGGATATCAGGTACAATTCAATTCCCAAATCGCACCTGAAATCGTGCACCCTGGGTGCGACTTGGCATGCGATTTGCATAGTATGCGACTTGCAAATTGTATGCCAAGTCGCACCCTATTGTCTGCTATTAGAGCAGTCACATGGGTGTGTTTCCGATGCTGATTTCTAAAGTAGTACATGTACTACTTTTGTGACGATTTGCATAGATATCTGTGTCAGATGTCTTGCAAATCATAAGGAAATCCGCATCTTCACTGTAACGTCGCACAATTTCTAAATCGGCTTTGATGTGACCGCGGTGTAGGGCCTTTTTATGTTTGATTTCCTGAGTGTTTTTCCGATTTATGGGAAATACCGCATACTAGCAAAAGTGGGGGGAATTGACATTTTTTCAGTATTGCATACGAGATGTGGTCATGTGACTGCCTTAACTCATGCGATAATCTGGAGTGAATTGTGCCCATAGGCCAAGAAATATTGCCAATAGGGTTCCCTTTCACATCCCTGTTCAATGTTCTGTTGTATGGTGCACAGGTACAGTTCGACTGTGGCTTTCTTTCTGACTCTGATTTGGTGGGGCCTGTAGTTTACCAAGGGTTAATGCAGGTGGGAAGAGGATTCATCAGGTGCAAACACTTTCTCCTGACCAAATGAATGACAGTGGGTGGGCCGTGTGGCCTACCTTATATATAGAGATGCATTTGTGGCTGGATTTTAGCCTGGTATAGGACCTACATTATTACTGCAAGTCTTGTCTGTGGTGGTTTGGGGAGGAAGGAGATATTGTGGTGAATTGCCCCCAGGCCACACTCACGCTGTTGTTTTGATGTGGTCTGTAAATGTTATTGCATGGTTTTTCCTTCTAAGGTTGTTTGTGTGTTATTGTACAATAACTGTGTTTATTACCTTTGCATTGTAATCCTAACACATGTCCATTGCTTCTGCTCTTCCAAGTTTGCTTTATTTAGAATGAAATGCAGTTTTCAGACAAACATGGTGAGAAATGTATGTGTGGGGGATTTGGGGGAGGGGGAAGGGTGTTTATATTTTGTGCATGTATGTATATTTTTATATTGATATTTTCATTGCAGCTTCTGTGAATCAGCCCCAAATGATTTTATTTTAAAAGTTTTTTTTCCCGCTGGGAAATTTTGAAAGCACAGTTCATTAGACGTTAATCTTTTAAAATTTAAGCCTTTTTTTTTATGAGCAGAACCGTTTTATTTTTGCAAAACCCCAATTGCTTTTTTTTTTTTTTTTTTACACCAAAAATATTGAATGTGACCCTTTTTTTGCTGTCCAAATAAAAATGGGAATTTTGTATTTTATCCCTAAAAAAATTTGTACTAAAGTTTTTTTTTGGGGGGGGTTTTCTTTGGGCTAGTTTTATGCTGCACAGTGGCTAAAATAGTTTTGAAATTTCCCCCTGGCATTTTAAAACCCCCCGGGGCCCTTGGTTTTAACCTCCTGCCTTTTGGGGGTTTTCATGTTTCCCCCGTTTCCCGTTTCCC